TCTTTGCCAGTGCTTTTATGTCCTAAATGGGATTGCCCAAGTTGTCTTCCAGGCTTTCTATAGTCTTGAGTTTTACATTTAAGTGTTTAATCTATCTTGAGTTAACTTTTGTGTATATTATAAGGAAGGGGTCCAGTTTCAGTTTTCTGTATGTGGCTAGCCAGTTATCCCAGCACCATTTATTGAATAGGCAATTCTTTCCCCACTGCTTGTTTTTGCCAGGTTTTTTGAAGATCAGTTATTTGTACGTGTGCAGTCTTATTTCTGGGTTCTCTATTCTGTTCCATTGGTGTATGTGTCTGTTTTTGTACCAGTATCATGCTGTTTTGGTTACTGTAGCCCTGTAGTGTAGTTTGAAGCCAGATAGCATGATGCATCCAAATTTGTGTTTTGCTTAGGATTGCACTGACTGTTTAAACTCTTTTTGTGTTCCATATGAATTTAATTTTTTTCTAGCTCTGTGAAGAATGTCAATGGTAGTTTAATGGGAGTAGGATTGAATCTATAAATTGCTTTGCATATTGTGGCCATTTTAATTATATTGATTATTCCTACCAAAGAGTATAAAATATTTTTCCATTTGTTTGTGTTAGCTCTGATTTCTTTGAGTGGTGGTTTGATCTCCTTGTGAAGATCTTTCAGTTCCCTTGTTAGCTGTATTCCTAGGTGTTTTATTTATTCATTTATTTATTTTTTGTGGTAATTTGCATGAGTGTTCCTTTGTGATTTGGCTCACAGCTTGAATATTGTTCCTGTATAGAAATGTTGTTGATTTTTGCACATTGATTTTGTATTCTGAGTTGTTACTGAAGTTGTTTATCAGCTTCAGAAGATTTTGGGCTGAGACTATGGAGTTTTCTAGATATAGGGTTATGTCATCTGCAAAGAAGGATAGCTTGACTTTCTATTTTCCTATTTGAGTACTTTCTTCCTTCCTTCCCTCCTTCCCTCCCTCCCTCCGTCTCTCCTTCCTTCCTTCCTTCCTTCCTTCCTTCCTTCCTTCCTTCCTTCCTTCCTTCCTTCCTTCCTTCCTTCCTTCC